CCTCCGCCGGCGCTGCCGGGCCGCGCCGCTCCCTCCCCGCTCCCTCCGCCCGCCCTCGCCACCGCCCCCGGTGGCTCCCGGTGCTCGGACCCGCCGGAGGACAGGGGCACCCCGGCCCCGGCAGCGCAGCCCCGCTCCTCCCCGCCCGGCCCCTCCGCAACGCCGGCTCCTGCCCCGGCCCGACCCGTCCGCAACTCTTTCCTTCCTTTCCCTCTCCTCCCCTCTGCCCGCACCTCCTCCCCTCCCTCGCCCGCCCCCCGCATCCCAGAGGAAAACCCCCCACCCCGTTCGGCCGCCAGCCCCAGCTCCCCCCCACAGCGAGGTGGTCCTGCTCCTTCCGCCCCCTCGAAATATTGATTGTTTTAAGTGTTCCTGACTTGGCCGCAAACATCTGGAAGGTATGAACGTACCGGATTTGTTTCCAGCCACAAAACAGCCCCAAATCCCAAACCCTCCAATTCTGGCGAGGCTGTGGCAAACGCCAGGAATGCGCCTTTGCAGAATACAATCACTTTTAAGAATTTGGGTTAAAGTACGAATGTGCTGCAGTTGCAAAATACAACTGGAAGACACCGAGTCAAGCAGAAACTGATATTCACACAAAATTAGGCTGAAGTAAATCTGCAGGTCTGACCTGTCTAACGTGAGTCAGCATGAACGACTTTTAGTCCCACCAGGTTTTATAAAGTATTAACTCTTAAACAGGCACTTGGACCAAGCCGGCTAGTTCCTGCACCTCTGTGCTAAGCTCCAGCTGGTCCCTGCCAAGGGACTTTCTACATCCCTCTGGGATCCCTCCTGGATTAAAAATAAAGTACTGCTGTCTCGAGTGAACTTTAATTTGGGTCAAATACAACTGATTCGGTTCACATGAGGTTGTACAAAACTGTCCCCACTCTAAAATTTCCTTGGAAAAAGACCTATTCAGAAATAACTAAGTGTTATGTTGAAGTTTTCAATGCTACAGCAGGAAAACATGGAAGTAAAAGCAGATTTAGGGATTTCAGTGTGCTAGGTAAGGGCTTGTCCACGTTGAAAAGTGATACAATAAAGTAACAACTACACCCTAAAACTGCGGAGTTTAACTTCTGAGGTGGAACATCTTCTGAAATCACAGCACATTAACACAAGCTCTTAAAAAAAAAAAAAAACTTAAGAAACCGTGATATTTTTATCTACCATCCCTGCCCATGGCAAGGGGGTTGGAATTAGAAGTTCCTTCCAGCCCAAACCATTCCACGATTCCTTGAAGTTACATCCCCTTTAAAATAATTTTCCATTCCAATTTTTACTCTTGCCTTTTCCCCACGCTTACAAGACCAAAAGAATGTATGTAGACACCTAAATCCATAAATCGGATTAGTGATGCCATTTTGCCTTTAACATAAACAAAATATGATGCTCCCCTTTTAATATAAGCTGTAGTAGCACCATGGACCCAGGCAAACATCAGAGCATCATAATAAGTATCTGATCAAATGTATAGATACAGATTTTTTAGCAGAGAAGTAGGAAAAATATATTATTAAGAAGATGCCATAGAACAGCTCTAAGAGGACAGGAGGAGGGCAGAGCCTGTGACTTTCCAGTGCCCCATTAACCATACCAAGCCCTGTTAGTCCCCACCCAGCTGCAAATGAAAATATTCAAGGGCAATCTCTGCCAGACATCTATAAACTTGACCTTCTCTTTTTTTGGGCCTGACAAAGCTTCCCTTTTTTTTTCTTTTTTTTTTTCCTCCTACTTTCACAAAAACAAAAGTAGGCTTCTGTCAGCCAAACACTCAGCTGACCTTCAAGCAGAGAGGCCTTAGAAGATAATGTGCTATTAATATTCTACTTAAGGAAATATTTGTAGATGCTCAGAAATTGTAGCCAAGGTTTATAGAGCCCATTCAGGATGCTCAGTGAAAGGAACAGAAGAGTTGTGAAAGCCGGAGGAAGTATTTATTCCCTGAGGGGAAAGAAATCCTGAACATCCATAGGTATTTAAACTCGAGTGCAGTGAATACATTAATTCAAACATAACTAGTTAAAACTGAATTTAGCACACCATTAGGAAGGGATATATTTTTAGCCCTTGCTATGCAGTCTCTGTGCACTGAGGCCATAAAATGAAATTTGTGCAGGGAGGATGGCTGCAGTTGGAGGCTCATCTGCAGCTACCTGCAGCCCGGGTGGGGGCTCCGAGAGCTGCCCTTGGCTGGTTCTTCCAGGTCAGGCTGCCACCAACCTGCTCTTCCTGAGCCAAACGTCTGACACACAGAGATACCCCAAAAAGCACACGTGTTGTGTCTCCTTTCTCTGCCCTGACGGGCCCTTTGTGGCAGCTGCCTCACAAAGGTGACAGTCCTGTGGTGCAGGAGACTGGAGAGAGCTCCGGCATGAAGGCTGGACATAAAAACTCCCATTCCTTGTGCCAGCACTGTTCCTGAGAGAGAGCTTCACTCCAAGTTACAGAGAAACAGCAATAATAATGGTAAGTGAGGTCTTGGGAAGACAGTTTATAGAAAAACATAGATTCAAGTGCTAAGGCTCCTATGGTAACATTATAACTTAGGTGGATCTTGAAAAGGTAACTCTTCCTAGCTGGAGAAAGGTAATTCTTCTAGCTGGAGCCTACATGTTTCTCTTACCTGTGACTCACAGCTGTCAGTAACAAGGAAGGATGCAATTTGGGATGTGCAATTCAGTGCTCTTCCTAATCATGCCTGAGGCCAGGAAACTTCAGTCTGCCTGAAGAACAGCTTTGTGAACTGCTATTTTTAGCTGAATTGCTGCAACCAGAGGAAGAATGAAGCAGGCTTTGGCCTACACACAGAGCCAATATTCTACATATTTCCAAGAACAGTAATTTCTGTGCATTTCTTTCACCTCAGCTTATTTCTGCACGCCCCTGTCCTCAGCGTACCCTCCTCACAGGGAAGGAAAAGGCAGGACATCCCTGCACTCTGCTTTCCAGGTGGGTGCTGTGCTTTTGCCAGGCACTCATCACTGAAAACTGCAAACTACAACATGAATAGAAGTCTGGTGAGTCACAAGCTTGACATCATTCCCTTTGCCTCCTTTGGTGGACCCTGGTAATTAATTTACAGATGTGCTGCTTGGGAATGCTCAGATTCCACCCATGGCTTATTCCCTGCTTTATGATGACATAAACAGAGCTTTGCTCTTAGCTTATTCTATATTTAACAGACTTTCCTCAACTCCCCGTCTTGTATTTTGTAGGCAAAGGTCCAGATTCTGAGCTCAGCTGCCTGCCCTGATGTAAATGTGGAGTCACTCAACTGATGCCAATCAAGTCACTGTGGAAATTTGGGATGTGACCTTAGATATCCCTCTCGTGTCAGTCCCTGTAATCACTGAAACAACACAACTTTGGAGCTGGTGCTGGCCTTCCTGGAGGAGTCTCCCATTTCCCAGCTACATAAGGTTTATGGTCCCAAGTGAAACAGAACCAAGTCTTTAAATTCCTGTAGTCCTACTGAAATGCTGCTTCTGGAAACAGCAACTGGTGTGCTTCTGTAGGAAAAGGGGACATTTCAGTAGCAGATGCCAGGAGAAGTCACAGAATCACAGAATGGTTTGGTTTGAAAGGGACATTAAAGACCATCTATTTCCATTCCTGTGCCATGGGCAGGGACAGCTTCCACTAGACCAGGTCACTGAGCACAGGTCACAGCTCTCTGGCTGTCAGAGCAAGGGGTGTGGACACTTTCTGGCTTTACCGAGTCTCTGAAGATCCAAATAATTTGCAGAGGTTACAGCAGACATTCAGAGGCTGCCACAGCCATCAGATGTTATTGCTCTGAAGCTCTGGGATGTTGGCTGAATCGCTTTCTCGGCTACAGTCTCCAGCACGGTTTCCTTGCCACCAACAGTACAGAGGGAACAGTCTCATCTGTTCCTAAAGCGTGGGGTTTTCCACAGAGGTCACCTGTCCTGTTTAAAACTTGCACTCTTGTTCACAATTGAACTCTAATGCACTTTAAAAGGCCAGAGCAAGAGAAGTGGGGCAAAGCATGAGCTTATAATGAATGCAATTGCAACATAAATCTAAGAAGTTTAAACAGGATGGAAGATTTCTCAAAATTAGTCAAGTTTTACAATGGAAGAAAAACCTTTTTCTCTGTCCAGAACCAAACCTTCCTAGTTTAGGAGACACCACAGACTGCTCCAAGTGTTCTACCAACTGCCTGGCATTCACACAACAGGACATTTTTATCCCATGCAACAATAAAGCTGAAAATAGAGACTGGGCAGAAGGGTACAACTGTAGCAAAAATATAATTCTAAGTATTTCTTTTGGTCTTGGGAAGGATTTGATTTCAAGGTTACGGGTGCACAGCTGACAAAATGCTGTGCCTTTCCAATGCAAGCTTTAAGGGAGAAGGATGATTTAAACCAGGAATGGTGCTTGTCCTTAGAAGGAAGAATGCTAATGAAGTGTTTGTAAGGCTCAGGATGCTTTAAATAGCTGTTAAATACTAGAAATGGCATTTAGATGATTCACTGCTACACATCAAATAAAAGCTTCATGCATACAGAACTCTAGAGATTGCAATATCAGAGATTACTCTGGCAATAAATTCTAATATCACCTTATCATGATTCAGGTGAAAAAAAACCCAACAAAACACACAAAAAAAACCCCACCACAAAACCCAACAATCACAACCCCCAAACAGCCAATCTTTATCTCCACAAAAAAAAAGCCCATCCCAAACCCACCCCAACACCTCAGTCCTTCACCTTTGCCTGGGCCATTTCGTTCAGCTCGTTTCGAGTTCAGAATTATTAACTGCTAGAATGTCATTGCTGCAGAGAAGCGTTAGGTAATGGATCATAAATGTCATCTCTGTGGCTCAGGAATCCCAGCTACTCACAAAGCAAACAGGAGGACTGAACTCAAAAGCAGAAGTAAGCAGTCAAATCAGGGAAGCACCAGCTTGCAT